TACACTCAAATTACAAATCATTTACGAGATGTTGGAACATCTCGTAATGAAGAACGTGATCGATTGTGGTAGCAGGGAAAAATGAAAATCGAAATTACCTTCTCCGATGGTCCAGAGCATATCAGAGAGAGAAAGAGAGAGGGTAGTACTTGCACCCGGCAGGAATTATTAATGATCGGCTCATCTCACCCCCATCTCCTTACTACCATCCCCGTTCTCGTTTTGATCCTTTGGCCCGGATCGAAATCAGAATGTGCTCCGACCCATCGATCCGACCTCTTTTCCGCCCAAGAGCCCCGGTTCTTCTTCTCGTGGTACTTCTAGGTCTCCTCAAGGAACCAGGCCGAATGACCCGACCTGAAAACTCACTTGAAACTTTCCGAGCTTTTGGAGATGCCCAAGTGGCACCGGCTCTTTTCTAAGGTTGAGCAGTCGAAATTGCTGATCATCTATCCCTGTCAGAAATTTGGAGATACACCTGTACAAGGATAAAATTAATTAACAATTGTTAAAAGTAATGAAGCGTATGCCTTCCACCTTCTACCGACAGCCCAATCAGTCGATCCGAGCGTGGCAAATTATTCCCCCTGAAAAGCACAAATTGAAGAAAAATTGTACCCATGGAGGAATAATATTCACCGTCGTTTCCAGGGTTTTTCAGGGCAAATTTAACACTGTTTCCCAATGACGAATCGGGTTAAGCAGACCGATCGAACCGGTAGATCTGGGCGTAACAAATTGTTCACATTGTGCCGCGTAAGGCCGGCGTTATTAATCACGTGTCTGGTTTTCAACGCGTGTTTCATTCCGTGTAATCTAGCCCGGTGGATGGTACATGGTTTAATTATTGTCGTACACATCGCCATTTACCAGAAGTAAGCCCAGACAAACAATAGAGGTGTTAGGCGTACTCAGTAGCGCGGGAATGGCATATTAAAGCTCATTCATTCCCGGTGCTGTCACCCCTAGTCTCTTCTCCATTCCTCTGGACCGCAGCATCCGAATTCAGCGCACGAAAAATACGTTACCACGTGAGCATGTCACGTATCTGCGTCAGAGGATCCCTATGCCCTCCATTTCTATAAATCGCCACAAACCAAGAGGACAAGAATCAACAAAAAGGGAATCTCCAAGTGTATAGTCATACATAAGGACTTCGTGTCTCGAATTGTCGAACCGAGAAATCTCTGGAAGTATCAGAAGTAAAAAGTTCAAATCATCCGAATTCAGCACATGAGAAATATGTTATCACATGGGCTGGTCACGGGATCTCTGCGCCCTCCACTTGTAGAAATCGCCACGAACCGAGAGGACAAGAATCCATAAAAATAGGGATCTCCAGATGTATAGTCGTACATAAGGGTTTCAGGACTCGCAGGGAGGGCAAGGCGAATTGCCGAGCCGAAAAATCTCCGGAAGTGTCAGAAGTAACAAGATCAGCGAGGGGATTCTTCGTTCCTCCTCCTATTTTTTCTTTTCCTTTTTTCCGCCAGGAAGAAGGAGCGCCCGGAGTGTCCTCATAAATCCGGAAAAATGGCGCGGAAGAGCGATAACCCAAGGGTGTGGAGGCAGGTTTTATTTTTTGCTAAATATTCCGCTAGATCCACGCAATCGCTGGCGCACGTCCTTGCGACTTATGATAATGGATCGAACTAGTCGGCACTCGAACTATACACCTACGCCTTGTACAAAAAACACGCTTTACATGAGGAACTGAATATCGAGTATCCTGATACACCGTCGCGTCCTGTTTCACAATGCGTGCATACATCAAGACCTAAAACGAAGAGGAATATGCAGGAATATGCATATCCTTGCGTGGTGCATTCTTGCGATAGGAGCCCGATGGCAACATTCATGACACCCTTGAATCGAGTCTATCTCCCTTCCGACGCCTTTGGGGATGATACCGACTCGTACATCCATACAAACTGTTCATACACCTACGTGTATGCGAACAGTCCGGCCGATACCGAGTATCGAATTTCCCGGGAAGACTTTCCCGCCGTCCTTCTTATCGACTTCCCGTCAAGACTTCGGATCAAGACTGTCTCATTGGCCTCCGCCTCTCGGACCCGACAATCTTTCGCCCTGCTGAGAAAATCCCGGGGATAAGCCGGAAAAATAAACCTCCGAGACGGAGGTTAACTCAAGATTCCTCCCGACTTACCGCGGAAGTTCTTACCTCGCGGTCTAAAGTGCTTTAAGGGCCTCGATACTCGAGCTGATGACCCGAATCGATCCTTGCGCCTCTTTCCGGAATTACGTCCACCCTCCGGCAAAACTATCCACGCTATCGACGTTTTTCGTCTTTACTTCACAATATTGCCATATTTATTGAGAGACGACCTGTCGTTACGATCTTGACAAGTATCTCTAAGCGCAAAGACAATCGCAGTGGTAAAAACAAGTCGATAAAATCTCAGAAATTTGAATATGGCCTTGATGTTCGATCTGACTGGCCAATTTTTACATTTACGGTCGCCATTAGCTTAAGCTCGATATGCAAATTGTGTCTGCACGCATAAATACCGTTCTGCCATCCTTTCCGCCGTGGAAATCGCGCAAAACCTCAAAAGCACTGGGAAGTTCTTAAACGAAGGAGACCGCATTTAAGGCCAAATCTCGTTTGAGCTGGATCGAACCTCTCGGAGCAGCTCGACTCCTTTGACACCCTCGCTTTGTCGAGGACGATTCGCCTCGACGTCGTGTCCGAGTGCACAGAGAACTCGAACTTGGCTGCACCTCGACCCGATTTCCGGGGATCCAGAAGGAGCTTTTCCGGGGCTTTCGGCAAGATTGAATCCGCTCCCCGAGCCGAGACCCCAGAGCCTCGTCTTTATCACGCCTCTCATTTAGCCTGTTATCATTAAGCCCTGGAGGTTGGCTATCGGTATTATTCTTCCCTCGTTATTCTTCCTATCAGGGGTGCGCGGATTGCATTTTCATCAGGCCCCTCCTCCCTCGCGAAAGTTGGATCCTCGATCCCTAGGGACTCCGAGTGCTCCATCCTGAAAAAGAAACGTTTTCACGTAAGTTTGGGGATTTCGGTCCCAAATGCCGTCAGTGATAAGGCGCCGAAACTGGAGCAACCCTCGCTTTTCCTTCGCCATCTTCGGCGTCTTCGACGTGCTTCCGAAGTCAGGACGTCGAGCCTCTCAGCGGGAAGTTGGTTTATTTCGAGGTTAACGATCCGCTCGCGTGTCGAGTTGGACTCGGTTGGCTTTATCACCAGCAAAGGAACGGCTCGTCCGACGTGATAAGCCGAAACGGGACGACTCGACGTCGGGGTGCGAGCACTCGACGGGATTTATTGAAACTCGGTGAAATATATCGGCCAGGGTGGCTCCGATTGGGATCCCCATGGCGCCGATTTACGAAGGCGTCGAAAAGCCCGGAAGTTTACGACCAATTCTGTCCGAGGTCTCTCATCTCGAAGTCGAGGCATTTTTCGGAAAAGTCCCCCAGCAGTACTCGCCCTTCCTTCTCGAGCCCTGAGTCGTTCTTGTGCTATCCTTGGAAGGGAAAAGGCATTTCCTGCATTCCCTCTCTGGAAATAACCTCAGAAATATCACTCTAATGGACATTTATGGAGGCGGGATATCAAATCGGGCGAGGAAAAACGCCAACGACGGCAGAGAAATATTGGAATTATTGTTCGCCTGACCCTTAAACATCGGCTTGCTTCACGAGGCGAAAGGTCGTGGGCATTTTAATTTCGCAGGGGTACTAAAAGGTCCGTAATGTGTGTCAGTTTACAACTCGTTACCGAGAACGCGGGATAGTGGAGGGGTATTATAATAATTTACACCAACGTACCAGACGATGGTTCCATGCGTGAGTTCACCTCGTTAGCGGCATCAAAGAGCGGAGTTTCCAAGAATATTACATTATTTACGCCACTTTGGTAAACACTCCTCGGCAGCGATATTATCCTCTTGGTATGACTCGGTGTGGCTTTTAGTATTTTTCTATTCTAAAGCCGTTCCACTCTTCTTCCGACTGCTGAATTAATTGACAGAGTGCGGATTAATGCCGAGGAGGAGACGTGGTTTTACAAAAACCTGGAAAAAAATAAAAGGGTTGGTCCTTTTACGGTTTGTTGATTCTTTGGAAGACCGTATTCCACGAGTTTTCGATCTATGAATAAAAGATGTTACCGCAGGATTTCAAACTATTAGAAAAATCGATGGCGACCCGAAAGTTCCGCCTAAACCACGTCCAAGTTAAAGTTACAGTTCCGTCCCAACTTTGGTCGCCTGATCAGGAGGGACTTTTTTAAATCCTTACTCGTACGTTCGATTATTAATTGCCTAAGGTCTGATCTAGGGGAATTAACATCACGTGCAATAAAAAGCTCCAAGAGTGTGAAATTAGCATACGAATGCACAGCCATCGCCGCAGTAATCTCCCTATCGATCTCTGGTAATATCCCACACATTCCCATCATCGACCCACCGACCTATACTCTCCATCACTGTGACGTAACGTCTGCAAAACAGGCATTACGACACCTGTAATTAAATTAAAATAAATTCATTTGTCGCTACAAGTTGCATTACAAAGTATGTAAACTAATGGGATACGGCTAAGATGGATAAGGCAACAATTCGCTTCTATTCCGAACGATTTTTTTCAACTTAACGTGACTCTTCTACTTCCTATGTACTCTAGAAATAATCCTTGAAAATAGTGACACGGACTAAATCATAATACTTTTATTACACCTAGATTTAAATTTGTACAGGGATCATCCTCCTCCAAATTTGTGCTCATCTCTTCCTTGTTCACGCCAGTTTTCCATTACTGCCGCCAAATGTCACGTAGTCTAGTTATTCGAAATAGATTCTGTAGCTGAAAATAAAAATGGAGGAAGTAAGAGGAGATAAAAGTATCGCGGCGGAACTGATCGGCGATCAATCAGTGTCTGGACTCGAATGAAATGGCTCGCGGAACTTGGAACGATTTATTTCCGGCCAATTAATGGTATTGCATTTCAGGTCGGAGATAATCGGAGGAAAAATGACGGAAGAGCAGCCGAGTTACAAGCTGATATATTTCAACGCTCGCGGCCGAGCCGAGCATATTCGTTACATATTTGCCATGGTTGGTATCGATTACGTCGACGAGCGAGTCCCGAAGGAACGCTGGCCGGAGCTGAAGAAGTGTGAGTGATCTGCGAAAATTTTCTGGCGCCGGAGAGTGAGGTCTTTACATCAAAGAGGTCTCCCATATTACTTCCTCTGGCAGGAAAATTAAAACGTTAAAGTTAATGAAAATTACGTTCGAGGTCCCACATCCCTATTTACAGGGTCACATTCTCAAAAATCAAAGTAAAGGTTCTTCAGGATAAACGGAAATTCTAAAGGAAAACCTAAACTTCGTGCGCGGTTATGAGTAGAATTCTTATACCGCGACTTTATTAAAACGGTGTAATGCTCGCACAAATTGCCATTTCGATGCAAAACGGGACCGAGATTGAATGTACCTACTTCTGTACCAACGAGGCTGCATTCGCTCGGTCTAGATGGAATAGGATAGGATTTATCTCCTTTTGCCCGAACGCGACTGAGTTTATCTACTTTCGCTCGGAATGGGAAAGGGAAGAACAAATATGCAAAGTACCACTACACCGTGAGGCGATTTAATTCCGCGTAGAGGAGTAATTCCGGCAAATCGCTAAACGAATTCATCAACATTTAGCGCTCTTCATCCTCGACAACGCAGGCGGTTTTAACAAGGGCCGAACACATTTTCCTTATTCCGGTCGCACGCTGCACGTGTACACTTCTACAGTTGAATGTTTAAAAAAAGAACTATAATTATGACAACCTTTATGACGTACGAACAAATTTTCACCATCAAATGGCCCGTCCTTAAACTAAACGAATGAACTCAAATAAATCGTCTTAATTCCTAAGATACGTTGCATTCAATTTCCTCGATTTTGAGACAAATAATTATCCTTTGAATCTATTTCTTCGGTACTGTAGAAAAATCCATTTCTTTGGTTCAAGGACATCATTCTCCGTGTGTGCGGCATTCTTTACTGCGAAAAATGTTCTTGCTTTTTATTAGCCATGCCTTATGGGATGCTGCCGGTCCTGGAGATCGATGGGAAACCGATAGCTCAGAGCAACGCCGTCGCCAGATATTTAGCCAGGAAACACGGGTTAGCAGGAAAGGACGAATGGGAGTCCATGCTGTGCGACGTCCTCGTCGACACGCTCGGCGACTTGAAACAAGGTGAGCAATGCTGGCGTACTTGTTCGGTGCTCCGAGGTAAATATGGGAGTGCGGTAAAGGGACCCGGTGGTTCACCGAGGGTGGCCCTTGGTGAGAATCCCGGTTTGCGGCAAGTTTCCGAGATGAGGGATCCGGGATCCGTGGAAACCGAGAGAGTGGCTAGCACGGTCCTTTAACATCACCGGAATATTCAGAATTTCAGATCTCTGCGGTTTCTCCCACGGCTCTTGCCCCCTACCTGGAGACCCTCATTCCTTGCGACCTGTTTTGACAAAAGTAAAAAGATAAATCACTAGAATTTGGATATTAAGACAGAATATTTGACAAAGTAATCTTATAGTATTGCCCGAATTTTTTCAATCGTGGATGATATCAAACGAGGAAGGTGCTCGCGGTGCGAGAAATTTAATTTAATGAGACGCTTTCTTCTTTCAGTCTTGTTCCAATATCGAACCGAGGAGGACCCTTTCAAGAAGGAGGAGAAGAAGGCGAGACTGCTGAAAGAGACAATACCCTTCTATTTGAATAAATTCGAGCAAACTATTGCGAACAACGGTGGTTACGCAGTCGGGACGACGGTAAATTTACCCGAGCTTAAGTTTGTCTAAAAAATGAAAAATCATAGGAACTTTCGCTTATCGGACAGGTGGTTACATCAGGGTCGAAAATGAATGTCCTTGGATTTAATGATCTAATTTGTTTCAGACCACGTGGGCGGATTTCGTGTTCGCGGTGGCTCTTGAGAACTTCGAGCAGATCTTCGGGCCAGCTTCCCTGGAAAATTATCCAGCACTGAGGGGCTTGAAGCAACGAGTGCACGAAATTCCAGCGATAGTCGAGTGGCTTGGCAAGCGACCGCAGACGGAATTTTAAAAAGGAGATTACATCGAGACGGTCCGTCAATTGGTTCACCCACAAATTAAAGATCGCACATTCGGGGCGTTTTTCTTTTTTATTTTTCTTCCATTTCCGCGAGGTCGCAGTCCTTGACTTCGAAAAATCATCCGTGCCTGGCGAATTACCCTCGCTAGTGAAATAAGTGCAATCAGATCAGCCGGCTACCTTCAGGGTCTAGGCAACGACATTTACTTACAACGGCGGGTATTAAACGTCACACCTTTCGGTGTAAATGTAAGCTGGAAGTACACAGGCGATGCGTGATAACACGCGAACGGAGAATTAACTAAAAAAAAGAGACATATATATTTAGACGTGTTGATGTCATCGATGTTACGATATAATGAGAGATTTCGAGATGTCCAGTTGGCACCATGAGGCCTGCGTTGGATATTAAATCTAAAGCTGTACCTCTTCAACCGTGTACCGTGATCCAACTTGATCCAAGGAATTCTGTTGAGTTAATTCGTTTCTTAGGATAGATTTCTGCTGCGACACAATCGGAGCTTCGGACAGGCAGAGAATCACTTTGTAAAAAAGATACAATAGGCAGGAACATATTATACATAAACATAAATGTATATACGTTTAAGTTGTACGGCCTGCAGGCTGATAAGCTTACCGAACACGTCACAGCAGTGAACATTCATAGAAACTGCCATGTAAATTTCGTGACAACCTTATCCGGAGCATGGTTTCTAAAAGGTGTTACTATGAGTGTGTTCAACGTTTCATGTTAGGTTCTTCGTCGAGGAGCTGGTACTCAGATGGTTGTACGCACTTGGAGTGAGCGTAATCTAGTTCTGCGTTGTATACGATCTGATAAATTTAATGAGTGTTAAGAGAAATAATAACTGCGTTAACGATAACAAATTCGACAGAAGTCATCATTCCCAGATACCCTGAAACGTTTCCTCATTAATAAACCTACCTACGGTGCCATGAATAAGCATCTAAAAATTTAACATTTCCGTTGGAAATAATAGAGCCGTTTCATACCTACCTCCCGATTTTAACCTCGATGATGGCGCCACTGGTTCAATTTAGTACCGCCTTCACTTTCATTACCCAAACATGAATCATACTTGAATTCTCCTTAACAAGCAGAGACAGAGATGAGTTGGGAGATTGCTCACGGGCAGGGTCGTGCGATCGCATCCTGTGCTGCCCTCTGGTTTCGTACATTAGCTTTTACCGTTTTTTGCCCCCAAGGGCGGCGCAACAAAATGACTCGGCTTATATCCGCAGTTAGGTAAGCCTCGGGAGGATTTTTCGCAGTTTTCGAGTCAAACGCATACTTGGCGAGTGTAGCGCCGAATGCACACATACTCAACGTCTCGACCCGTAGCTTGGCGCTTGGCTGGTTGTGACGCGCGAAGATTTCTAGGAGCTATCGCACTCACCCAGATTCGCTGCATGAGGGTTCCGTACGCGACACCGACGCGTGCCCCAAAGCTCCGCATCATGTCGATTTCGAGGCAACAATGTACTTAATAGTAGTAGATAAGTAGATAAAGTAAAATGGAGCGTCACGTGTGTTCTTCCCTTACCATCAAAAGCGAGCAGTATCTGTAAGCGTAGGTAAGCCACCACCGTCTACTGCCGCATGGTATTACCATCACGAGTACGTGAGCCGCCAATGGCGACTGGTAGATGGTACCGCCATCGTGAGTGCGCGAGCTCCTATCAGAAATTCGTTGCCCCGCCCTTGGGGGCAAAAAACGGTGAAAGCTAATGTACGAAACCAGAGGGCAGCACAGGATGCGATCGCACGATCCTGCCCGTAAGCAATCTCCCAACTCATCTCTGTTAACAAGATCCTTTCTACTTCCTTTCTACTCTCCAAATAAAATCAATGCTCGATTTACTTTTTAAACTTACCGCCGAAATATCTTATCCCACGTGACCCTCTAAAGCACACGTGAGGGATTGATTAGAGCTACGTTGTCAGTCACGCAAAACGAATATTACGTCAATGTACCATCTTTTTATAAATTATCAACGTAGCTACCTGCCTGACCGACCCATGATATGCAAGATATGAGATAACAGTTATCCGCTAGAGTGGCGCTGTAAGCCGTTCAAACGTGGCGTGATCGATAACGTCCCTAGTGATGCTGCGCTCAGGTTCCAACGGAAACTATCCACATCTCTCCTTGACTTTTCCGTTGGTGCCCGTATCGATGAACCAACGAGCGGCCTTTTGCTGCCGATAGTGGGAACAATAAATACTATGTTGGCGGGGCGAGCGGCGTCCGTTATTTCCGCTGTTAGTAGCCGGCGACGACGCCAACGATCATCCGTCTTCTCGAATTTTCGCTGTCGATAGACCTGATCAGGTAGGTGTGTTCGTACCTAAACCTCGCTTGGACCTCGGCTGCCCTTATTTTCCTGCTCAGAAGGACTAATTCGCTGCATCTCGTGAGAAATCCGAATATTTAAGCCCATTTTCTCGGGTCGTCGAACTTAGCCGGTCGCGTCGGACGCCGACTTCGGGCGAGTTCGGCACGTTTCGGCAATGCTCGGCTATTCGACTCCTTGCGACCCTTCACCGCTTATTAACGATCTGGAAATAGCTCCAATTACTGCAGGAATTACCATACATTGCTTTTAAGCTTATTGAATCTTAAAGTAGCATCTTATTGATCGATGCAGAGAAAAAACTGCCCCACAATGCTTGTAGCCTTGGCTGGGAATGCCTTCAATTATTTAAAAATAATGGAGTGATCGGTGACCTGGAAACAGCGGCAGTCAATGAAAGAAAAGTCGTTGGTACCTCCAAATCGTTCCATTATCTTTCTTAGAAAGAATATTAAGAAACATTCCAGTATTTATAAGCACTAACACTCGCTTCCCATTATATCATGTACAGAAGTCTGTTATCAGCACAGAATTCACCATCAATCTGGAAAAATAAATTAATTAGACAGATATCTTGAATATAACGAGACATGCGAGGTGATTTATCGGTATTGTAGGAGAAGTTTCTAGAAAAAAAAAAAGTTACCTCGGCTGATGCCTGGGCCTGGTGATAGGGTTTATCAGCAGGACTGTTTATCCACGATCAACTGGTCGGGGATTCTCATCGAGTCGATACACTTTCCTGAAAACAACATTCAAACCCACGATAAGCCCATTTAACGTGAACGCACTGTACATATGAGATACGTTCATGCACCGCCATTGCTGGTATCAGGAAATTGCGAGATCGTGCAACTCACGGTTGCGTAATTCAATTTCCTGCGATCTTAGTCATCCAAACGAGCGAACCATGTACAATAATCGGCCGGTCCGATAAAAACATTAAGCGAGCAAAACTGGCCGCAAAAAGGCCTAATATTCACCTAGCAATGACTACACTGTTCAGTTTTGTAATCGTAGACTATCAGGATTATTTATACACAGTTTCATGCAGAATTTATTGCTTATTCCAGATAAAATGACTTCTTACAAAGTCACGTACTTCCCGGTGAAGGCATTGGCTGAGCCCATCCGATTCCTCTTCAGCTATGCAGGAGTGGACTTCGTCGATGACCGCTTCGACCGCGAAAATTGGCCGAACCTGAAATCTCGTAAGACCTTGAAATAAATTATTACATAATTATTTAAAAGACAAATGGATCGTAAATCGACATTGAATGACCGGCCATCACCCGCGAGGAATGTCCTTGTGATTGCGGTGGACGCATTCAATAAAAGTTGTTTCTAAGGGTAGAATAACAATGGGTATTGTTAGCCGAAGGTGATGGCTTTGAGTCGCCAGGAATAAATATAGAATCAAAATAAATCGTTTTCCAGTTAATCTGGATACAATACACCCATTGTCAAGTGTTTTCAAAGAGAGATAAGTTGGACAAGCAGGCGAGAGGATGAGACCATAATTGATAGAACTGTTTTTCACGGTTTGACCTCCACTATGGAATCATCTACGATTGCGATCCCTTTAAGGAACAAGAAATCCTTTCTGGAATTACAAGCGCAGGGTCTATGACTGCCATCGCGAATGGAGATTTTTAAGTAATTAATTGTAACACTTTCAGAAATGCCGTTCGGCCAAGTGCCGGTTCTCGAGGTGGACGGAAAGAAGATTCATCAATCCGTTGCTATTTCTCGCTATCTGGCTAAACAATTTGGTCTTGCCGGCAAGGACGATTGGGAAGCCCTTCAAATCGACGCTGCAGTCGACACCATCCATGACTTGAGAGCCAGTGAGTATATTGAAGTTCCTTCAAATTAACTATTATGCCCAAATATTAATTTCCATAAACTACGAATACTCCGGTTAAGCGAGAAAAAAAAATGAATCCATGCTGATAGTAATTGTGAGTCATAGTTTTCGCTGAGAGAGGAGCGTTCGATTTAATTTATATGTAAAAACGTAAGAGCACATGCTGAATCCACAAAGGCTGTTCTGTATTCTCAGGACACTTGTCATGTGGCATGAATATTTTATACGGAGTTCTACTCGGATTCCTTGCGGATTTGAATTGAAGATGAAGGTTTTCTAATCCTACCGACGCGACGTCTGTTTTCGTTTGCTAGAACTCGGAGCTTATCACTACGAGACCAACACCGAAGTGCGAGACGCCAAGTACGAAGTCCTCGTTAAGGAAACCCTTCCTTATTACCTGGAGCGTTTGGACGCACAGGTGGAGAAGAACGGAGGGTACCTGGTTGGAGGGAAACTGACCTGGGCTGATCTCACCTTCGTCGCTCTTCTGGACTATCTGAATTTCATGGCAAAGTTCGATCTCGTCGAGAAATACGAAAACTTGAAACAGCTGAGAGATAAGGTCTTGGCTGAGCCGAAGATCAAGGCCTGGGTCGACAAGCGCCCAGCCTCCGAGTGCTGAACCTGGACGCGTCTTCTCATCCTGGCGCCGTCGCCAACGCTTTCGGATTTACCGAATCGTTGAAAGTTTCGACATTTCTAAGAGAGAAATAGCTGTAGGCCCGCAACCCTATCTGTGCCAGGAAAATGCGAAAAGGAAGTCTCTTCGCAAGGAGAATCGCAATTTACCGAAAAGAAGTTCCTGCTATCAGCGTCCTTTTCCCTCGCTACCGCTTTCAGCTTGTCACAGATAAAAGTATTGTTCGTTAAACAATTAAGGAGAATAGAGTTCGATGATGCTGCGCGTGGTGTATTTCGTATTCAAATAAATACTTCATTTTACTATACCTGTTGGCCGAGTTGCTTTGTCGAAATGCAAATCTCAGTCTTCGTTTAACTCGAAGCATTCGACACGCTCAGAAGCGGGACCTTTTCTAAGCAAGAGTTATGTCGACGCCAGTGAAACCTTGTCAAGCAAAAATCGAGACTTCGATTTTAATGATTACTTATCAGCCGATAACCGATACTAAATATAAGAACTCGGTTAGATCAGATCCGTTTCCTAATGATTAAACTTGACAGAAAAATTGTAACCGAAGTAAAAGTATCGTAACAGTTTGCCGATACCTGGGGGGGAAGAATATTCTTTCCAAGACGGTGCTACGACCTGTCGCTCGCGATTGCAAAAGAAGGATATCAATTGGAAATAATAAATAACTCCACACGATGTCTGATATCCATCTGCGGTCGTGACGATCGGCGCCGATTGTAAACAGTTACCAATTCGAACCGTCCGGACTCTGAAATCCTTGAAACTAGAAAATCATGTCCATATCACAGAAGTGGCAATTTCACCCGATTGCAAAACCCGTATAAAAAAGCGTCATCTATCAATATCCCAGTTTGTCGTTTGTCCTCGCAAAAAGTGTAACATAGAGTGACACTCAAATTGTGGAGATTATCATCGACAACCGGTGACGTAACACGCCTCAAATCGTCGAGGTTTGTTACGTTTTTATTTTTTTCATTTAGAAAATGATTCATTCGGCTTAGCCTATCAAGTAACGGTGAGAATTTACAGAATTCGTCGAATTTGCCTTCCGGCCGAAACCCGTAACTCACGTTTATCTTCGTGAAGTGAATATTCTGCAAGTCATTCCCTTAGTGAGGATTCTGAGAAGGAGAAGAAGGAATGGCTTATAACGATGAAATGAATCTGAGAGAGCATTTATATACCTCCAGTCTGCTCCTGCCATTCAGTTCCGTTCAGTCCGTCCAGGTCGACTGGTCTAAAATTAATAAACATAATTTCACTTTCCAGAAGCTCAAAGAAGCTACCGAAAAGGTATATCTAAATCTAATACAAAGTGATATTATGTCGGTGTACTATGTCGGGGATTAGAAATCATTAGACTTCGTTTAACAGATGACGAATTACAAGCTGATCTATTTCGACCTTACTGGCCTTGGAGAGCCCATTAGATTCATGCTGAGCTACGGAGGAGTCAAGTTCGAGGATAAACGAATCAATTCCGAAGAATGGAAGGAGCTGAAGCCTCGTAAGACCACTTGGGGATTGCAATTTTCGGCGTTCTAAAAATAACACTCTGGGTGGATTTTTTTTTTCTTTTAGAAATTCCCATGGGCCAACTACCAGTTCTGGAGATCGATGGGAAGAAGTATTATCAGTCGAAGGCCATCGGCCGGTTTCTGGCCAAGAAATTCGATCTTTATGGGTCCGACGAATTCGAAGCCATGGAGATCGACGCCGTCGTTGACACCATTGACGACCTCAGGCAAGGTGAGTCATTATCTGAAAAGAAAGTACGACTAATAGGAAATTTGCGAAGAACTAAAGTGGACTGGTTGAATAATTTCGTATTTAACTTTAGCCTTAGTTTCCTACACCTTCGAGGAGGATCCTGACGTTAAAGCCAAGCTCAAGGAGAAGAACTCTCCGAAGGTCCCGTTATTCCTGGAGAAGCTGGAGTCCTTGGTAGAGAGAAATGGAGGATATTTCGTTGGAGGAAAGGTAAAGACACCTCTGGATTGAATAACTTTCACCCGCTCTGTTCTGGAACGAGTCTAAATGTTTCAACGTTTACTCCGGTAATGAAATTCCCTCTGACACGTTAACGGCGGGACTATTTATATTTTTTTATCGCATGCAAATATCCCGATTGTCGGTTTGATACCGTCGAGTCTTAAGTCGCGTCACCCTGCCTCGATGCCAATTCACGCAAAGTAGGTAGAAACAAAGGTTCTGATTTTTTTTCATTTCTTTCTCAGCTATCGTGGCCGGACATCGTATTCGCGGCTCACTCAAAATTTGCCTCACACATGTTGGAGGGGGATGTGTCGAAGGATCATCCCGAACTGAAGAAATTGACCGATAAGGTCCTGGCTATTCCAAATATCAAAAAGTACGTCGACGGCCGACCGGACACACGAGTCTAAAATAGAAGATCGAAAAGTTTAATGGAATTCTGCTTCACCATCTAGAAGATCTCGAGATATAATAGAGAGGGTGAGGAGGGAAAAAATATGGTTCCCGGCCTCGCAATAAATGTCAATTATTTCTACCATTATTCGACCTCCCGTTATCCCCCCTCCTGGGAGCTCAATCAATTGAATTGAATTCGCCAATTGCCAGCCGACTCTCTCGTCGTCTCCCCGCCGTATAAATGCGAGGGACAGAAATTATACAAATTCCCGGAAAGCTGCGGTGAGCGTAAAATAACTACAAGAAGAAGAAATGGCGATCGTCCGTGGTGTCTTCATCTTGTACAGATACATTGAATTCAATGGGCACGCTATCTTGTACCGTAATGGCTGCTACGCGGCGTTCTTGTCGCTAAACTACAAACCTCCGCAATTTTCTACATTATGCCGTATCACGCTTGATTTGTGAGTACAATCCCGTGCTTATAATAATAATAAGAAGACCGTATTCAAGAGCGCCACGAGCTTCCACAATTTGTTTACGAGGCACGTGTTATCGGCAGGGATATTTGCAAGTCAACATTTGCCGCCATTTTGGAAACGAAGCCACCGATGCCGTGAATCGCGCATTCGCGAGGGACCGATTTACTCACGGTTTAATAATCAGATTATCATTTAAATTCCCCCGAAGTGCGCGAAGATTATGCATCTACGTTGTAATAAGTGACGGTGCGTTATCGGGGATCGGAGGTTGCGCGATATTAAAATTGATAACATCCACCTGTCAAGAGATCGCGGTCGCCATGTTGAGAATTCACAAACCAGGACTGAGAAGGCAATGAATTTTTTTTTTTATTAGAAGACTAACGACAGTGGAACAAGTGTCACAGTACAGTGCCGTAAATCCATACGAATCGTCGCGAATGTCTCTCCTTGACTACCACGAAGAAGAGGAAATATCGAAAATTCGTAGAACGAAAGGAAAATTTATCCGGATATAAGTTTGCGTCCCGGCGCATAGCACAAATAGAAAAATAAATATAATACGTATATACATACACACAAATATATATATCGTAACTTAAATTAACCAGCATAGCTTACGTGTCTATTTTCGTCCCTCCATTACGTTTCCGCTGACTATGCGCCGAACCAATTCTAGGTTATCCGATATACAGCGATTCGTAGCGTGATAACCACATCGTTAAACCTCGTGCTGAGTCCAGGGATCTACGCAGATTAATTAATTAAACAGTTCACAATTTACGGGTCACTTACCGCGATAGAAAAGCTCTATATAATATCGAGCAAAATGGCGCCTTTACTTTCTTCGGTTTAACGTTTGCAGTGAACGAGCGATAACCAATAAAGATTGTGCATTCTTGTATCTGGTATTTTTTTCTCGTATTTCACGTATAGGTATAGAGATTTTCCACCTGGCGTGGTTATCGTGGAAACGTGGTTTCCGTTGTCTTTCTGGAAGCCCCTTGAAATCGAGGGTAAACTCACGTTATCGAATCGATATCCTCCTGACTCGGTTCTCCGGTGATATTAAAACGAGCTTTATTTCCAGTCATTTGCTTAACCCTAGATATACTCTAACACGAAGCTCGATAGACTGTTGGACAGTTCACTTTCACTACTTACGTAGATTTACATTACAGACCCGTCGATAAAACTTTACAACTCTTACAGCCCACATCTGCGACCTACTCCAGGCGGCCATTTTGGAGAACCCGGAGTACAAATCCTTCCATTACCGCGTATCATCTAGACCACTTAAAATTCACGTAACCGCACTTGGAAAGGATCCAATTCGAAGGGCGGTCCTTCGAACTCATCGATGCTGCCTCTTTCTCGATTACATTCAATCGGTACCTCGAAATTTGCATGACCTCGGGTGAGTCCGCCATCTTGGTAAGCCAACATCGCAACGAGTGTCTTCAGGCTCGACTAGCGGAGTCTTTTGTTTATTTCTGGGTATTTTAGGCAAAGTTCCGCAACTCGATCGTGTCAATGGACGGTCGAGCCGAGGTTCAGGTGTTCATGGAGAACCTTCTAAGCGGAAACGAGACCTCCCAGTGGAGGAACGAGCGTCAAGTGACAAGATCAAAGTTGAGCTCCCCCATGTACTTGGCCAACTCCGAGCCGGTGAACTCGGTCTCGTCCAGGTCCTGCAAGCTGGAGTTGCTGATGGTGTTGGCACTGTCGATGCTAGGATGGCTCTGCAACTTCGGCGGCGCGCTCGCCACTTCCGGCGTCACTCTGGGCCGGGGTGACTTCTGCTGCTGAGCAAAGAACCCCCGAGTGCCCATCCTGAGTCTCTCTGCAAGGATCCCTGAGGATAGAAACGATCGTCCCTTGTAGGCGGACGGACGTGGCTCTTCCCACGGGATTAACAGGGGATATGTCGGGAAGATCGATGACATGATTCATTTCCGCATGGCCCGTCTCCGATTATCTATCCCACGACAACCGTAAAAGACTCTTCAGGAACTCATTCGGCACACTCTTCTACGTCGAGGTTACTCCTAGACCACCTCCTACCCGCTCTTCACGTGGACAACGGTGCTTAAATCATACGTAAAAAATTAAAATACGGCATAAAGTAGCTAAAACCATCCATAGACTGGATTTTGGAATGCCGATAGCGTCGCGATAAGCGACATGGCGCCGCGAAACCGACACGGGATTTCACGTTGCCAGGAATTTACCCGAATCGAGGGCTCGCTAAACGAACGTTACCGAATATCCATCCATCAGACATTCCGACCTCCGGTCACACGTTAATCCATCTCCCGGAATCGTAACGCTGATAAACCCTAACTATCTCTCGCCGCGCCGAAAGGGCCCCTTTGATGTATGGATCGCTCGAGATGAGGTCGGGATGATGTGGAAGGGCCGATTTACCTAAAGTCACCGTCTTCCCCGGGCGATGGCTTTTCGGCAAGCAGTCGTTAATACATGCCCCTCCGACGTTATTGTTCCCCTCGCTACCCCCCTTACTGACGGAGGTCATCACCGTCACTTGGCTCGAGTTGGACGAGCCCCTCGACCTGTGGTTTCGGTTCTCCCGTGGGGTGGACTCTTTCGTCGCTGGGGTCCCCTCTGGAGGGTCCTTCCGCTCCTGGTCCTTGACAACGGGCTGCTCCTCGGCGACGCTTTTCGGCGAATTCGTCGGTGCCAATCTCTGCGTCTCGTCGCTGACGGATATCGACGCCGACAGCTGATTCGTCCGGCGAATCGTCGATCTTGGATAGTGGGAAAGCGCACTATACGTCGGTCTTCTTGGACTTCCCTTCTGGGATGAGCGACCTCCGCAATGCTGCGACAACATCGACTGCAGGGACAGAGGAAAATCGTTACACTGATGGAGGAATATAATTTCTGGAATTTTTTTTTTCTTCCGTTTGAATATCAGCGCACGCGGAGACGCACTCGGGGAATCCCTAGAGGAAGCGTAATCGAATGAAGGGGCCGACCAAGGCGATGGGAAATTAAACGGAGAGGGACAGGAGGAGGAACTAACGAGCTTGTCTCCTCTGCGTAGATGCGTCTCTTTCCTCGTCTTGGTATGGAACTGCGTTCGAACTTAAACTTTAACTCGGATCCCGGTTAAACTTCCTCCCTCCGGGGGTTTGACGTTAAATGCGGTTTCGCGACGGGTGATAAAATCGCCTGGATGAGGAAAATGCGCTTGTCCTCCGTTTCCAGAGTTGCGAGGTGTTTTAATTAACAGCGATCATTCTTGACGATGTGTCGAGCTCTTAATTGGCGACAAATAAAATTAGGCAGGGTTATCTGATCTGAGGGAGGAAATTCCGACCCGTCGTGTCCAATTTGTCGGCGTGTCGGCCTGAAGAATTAAATGAATTTAGATAAGTGCGATCCTCGGGCAAGATCGATGTGTTTTTGTCTCTTCGCTTATAATATCGGCTTATATTTTGTACTCTTTTTTTTTTCTGCAGGATTTGCCTGCCGACCTGTTTCTCTTCCTGTGGAGATATGTGTCGTGTTTCGGGCTCACCTTGAAGGCTTCTCGGAACTTGTTGGACATGATGCTGTACAGCAATGGATTCACCGTTGTCGAGAGATAATAAAGCACCCCTGAGATGTATGTAAGTGTGGTGTATACGATGATCAACCCTGGATGAGGTGTACCACTTCCTTGGGCGTACACAGCGAGTAATCTCTGTGCATGGAATGGCGCCCAACAGATGAAGAACGCCACAACCACCGCAACTGCAAAATGATAAATCATAATTTACGACGAGTCTTGCACCTATTCTCCGCTCCTATCCCTAGATTCATGAAACTCTCCTAAAACTGTGAATAAATTTCTCCCCCTCTCGTACACAGTTCTCCTAAAATTGCAAATCTAATGCAGGATTAAAGAAGGCAATATTCGTAAAATTATAAACAGCTTTCAAATTTTGTGAGATTTTATATATAAAACATTTCTTTTTTTTTAATTCGTGTAATTAACTAGCGTTTATCTTACATATATCGTCGATTATATGTTTAATAAATCTCACTGAAAATGTTTGATGGCTTTATTAGAATTTCTTTTTAACGGAAGCGTTATGTCGGTTCCAGTTGTAGAACAAAGTAGAATCGGGTTAATGGCGAATATTTATTCCAGGTCAGTTGAACATTTCCCAAGAACGATCATTAATTATGCGTCAATTCCGTCGTGTTCGGAACAGTTTGCTTAGAATTTCGAAACACCTCTATTTACCCTTAATTGCAGAGGTTAGGGTTAGAAACCGCCGGCATTGAAACATGGCCCATGCGTTCCGAATAACTTCTCAACCTGACGATCTTCCTTGCGAGAAGCTGAAATAATAGCACGAAATTATAAATTCGTGGTCTCGAAGGGATCTTCTGCAATGAGCGTGTTCATTCATTATCCTGTCGCGGTAAAACCGTCCCAGGAAAAGCCCTTCATTAGCCAACAATAGCAAGAAGTTCGGGACAATCCCTCGAGGGGTTCCCCAATTCTGTTTAAAACCACAGCTGAGGGGAGGAAGCGACAATGACATATGTCTCGTAATAAAAGGACGCATGATCTCTCGTTAAATCGAGGACCGGCAGTTTTGCTTCATTTAACTGTTACCCGCGAGTCTGGATACTTTTATTGCGCCGCGCCGGGAGAAATTAACTTTTATTACCGGGTCGTTCTTCCCAGAGCACATCGGAAAGATCGTGGAAGAATTCGGAATCCGAGGACGACCCCTCTTCTTTTCCTGTTCCTGGTCTAAATTACACCTCCAGAAGCTCTCTAAGGAGAAAATGGCCCTCGCCATAGACACTCCGAGTTTTCCGATTGACGACCCAAGAGGGCCGAAACGCTAGAAAAACATTTCCGGGAGCTTTTCCTCGGGAAGATTTAGGCGCCCTCCGAAAACCTCCTCTGGATTCCTCCAATTTATTTTATAAACGAATTTGGAACAATAACGTGGGGTGCCGTGATTGATTAATTTCGAAATGCGTTCGGAGATGCAGGGATTAATTTTACTTTTATTACTTTTTCCATTTTGTGGGATTATAGAAATATCCAGACTTTTTATTCCTAGAGTACGGAGACCTAATGCAAATTTGATGCAACCTTTTTCGTGATAATAGTTTCACTCATCCGTCAACTTTAAAGCCCCGGTATCACGATTCTGCTTCAACGACTCCGGAATAAATTGTGTCGGTACGTCTCCATATCGGAAAATTCGTAAGTCGATTATCCTTTGAGTACGTTATTGATAATGGAATTAGAGAGGGGCCAAATTATTGAATAATTCAATATTAGAGTGTAAGGGCTTGAACATTTTCACAGCTTCACTCGTGCTCATGACGTGGGAAGTATTTTCGCGTGGGAGGGAAAAATTTTGGGTGAAGTACGTGATAAAACAATGTATTTTTGGATTCCTAAAACTGGATCGAGAATGGGTCTAATTATGATCCCGCGCCTTTCATGTCGGTGGCAGGTAATAATATCAAGGGCGATATTAATACCGACACCGAGACATGAAGCAATAAACATGAGCAGGGTGTCAACTGTAGAAAGAAGAGCTCGGCCTTGTGAGATAAAAACGGAGGGAAAAAATTACCGCTAAATTTATAGTGGAGGAAGAAAAGAATCATTGTAGCACCTCGATTACGAATGAAAAATTTAATCGCCGGAGAAAAAAATTGTACACCAGAAATTGTTATTCCGTTTAACATCAGCAACAGTATTATCTGATAAGAAAGATGCAAATTATTAATTGACCGAAGTCTCTTATGCGACTTTTTACGAGTCTGATCCTTCCTCTTAAGGATTTACCCACGGACTTGCAAGTGCAGACGGATTTTATAATTAACATAACCAGACGTGTCTTGTACATGTACTTTTTCGAGTCAATGCATAATACGGAGAAACGTATCTCTTATCAACACAAGCCTATCTCAAGATCCTCCCGACACCTCCTTTCATTGAGTCTACAAGCTTTCAAGGAACCATTGTAAAACACGAAAAAATCTGGAGCCGGGCCAGAAAGATCTTCGACAATGAGAAAAAACGTATCTTTCAGGCTTCGATCTATTTTTTATCGGTGATGCTTGGCCTTGAAAAAGCGATCTGGGTTAATCGACATTTATTTTTTAACTCAACGATGTTTATCGGGGCGTTCAAGATGAGGACCTTATGTCATTATAAAACGAATTCAATGTAACATTGGAATAACAAGAACTGAAAAAATGGCGGATTTCAGACGGCCCGCCAAGGACAAGAAAAATCCGCCAGTAGATCAAGCATTAATATAGAAATTCCAGGTAGCCCGTTTCCAGAAAAATGGGAGCTTTGTCATAAATGGTCTTATAAATCACAGTCGTCTAGAATAATCCTTATCGCTGCAAGTGTTAATCGCCTCGTGTCGAAAGGATTCACATCCTCGCGGTGTCACCCCGAGGATCTTACAAAAACTCGCTCGATAACCAGTTCGTATGATAATGGCCTCGTGATCGGCATCGTTCCGGTAAGAAAATCGATGCATATTTCACGGGGCCTTTCCCGGAATTTTCATTCGCGGAATTTTCATCCGTGGGTGCTTTTTCGAAATGACGGAATTAATTGATTATTTCCCGGGGATTTGTTCCGGACGGAGTCGTATCGCCTCGCGATTTACGATCTCGAAGGCGTTGGAGATTTCCGGGATCGCCGAGTTGTCTCGATTAGAAAAAGAAAAATGTACGATTTCGAGATCCTTTCCACGGGTGCAATTCTCGTAGCGATTTACGTCCCACGTCATCGTTAATGTGTCTCGACGGGTCGCGGTCCGAGGAGAGCTTCTTCGTCGTGAAACTTTGTCCTCTTTCAACAGGAGACTAATGTTTCCTTCGGCTGTTTTCAACTCCCACGGCTTCCCGTTGCCGAGCAAACCGACGAATTTCATTGAAAGGACCCCGAGTAATTTGCCGAATTTATTCCCGATGTTTCCGACGTGATTTAGGGTCCCAAGGAAGAGGGGAAGTCCGCAGTTTCAGGCAAGGGCTCGATAGATTTTCCGATACACGAAATCCACGAAAGCAGGGCGACTATTTACCAACCTCTTCAATGATATATCCTGAGTACATCATAAAGTGATTTATGCTCGCAGGATTTGCGATTCGCAAGCCTGCGAGGATATGCGTGCTCGTCCTCTTGGCACGCATCTTCCTCACGAAACAAGAATTATGCTTATCCAGGACATTATCTCTCCTTGTTTCGCGGATACGTGTCATACGTCTATTCCGAACTCCCAGATTTTTTTTTCGAATCTTAAAATAGAGAATTTCATTCAGCAGAGTCTGCAGATATTTTCTAATGGAATTGTATCTCTGCGTGGCGTGATTTATGGCGACCGGAGATGTCGAAAGCACTCTGAATATAGATTCTCGAGAGTAGAGAATATGGTAGAAATTATCATGTTCGTAAATGTAATATAACCATGGGACTACCAGTCACTACCCTCGGTAGAGAATCATGAGCATGGAAATACTTCTTATACCGTTTAAATCTGAAAAATCAATTCACATACGATGCAATTATTTCGTTCGCTTGATTTATTTCCTGCACAACATTTCAAATGGGAATTTGAATAGAAGTAGGCAGGGTTTACCTGTCTATTTGATCCTGCGGTTTGTTTCGGTTATAAATAAAAATTGTTTATTTGAAATGAAATTAAAATGGATATGAAAATTTAGATGTTTATTCCAGTCTGTAATTACCGTCCTGATTTCTGCTTCTCGGATTCGCATTTCGCGCCGCGCTCTCTTTCAGCACGTGTACCTCGTCAAAAAGGAAGCTTCTTGTTTGTCTCGAAACATTGTCTTCCCTTCAAGAGAAACGCCTCGTCGAGTTATTTTAAACTCTCCCAGTTCCCTTTTCACAGGCCCACAAGCCCGCTCGATTTTCTCTCATTTTTTGCCCCTCGTGGCCGGACAGACACTTTTTAACATTTTTTCTTTCCCGGGAAAAAAACGATACTCTCATGTGCGATAAGTAATTTATCGAAACGCGAACGTACCGACGAGCCTACTTTCCAAGATTCCGCATTCTACTTCAACTTACAAGCACTTTTTTTTTTTACGCGTGATTGTACAGCCGGCAGACATTTTTCAATCAATTTCAATATAATACCGTAAATGGGAACGCCGCGTGGGAAATGCCGGAAATATTTTCCTCTATCCGGAAATGCGTTAAATCCGTAACGGGTCGCGCGGAATTCCGGAAAACGGGATTGCGACAAATTGCGAGAAATTAACGAGTCGAAATTGGCTCGTCACTTTCGCGCGTAAGAAGTCGAATATTCCGCGTCGGTAGTTCGCGATATCGCGAAATGCAATATTCTAATAGACGCAGACTGCAGTGACGATGATCAACGTTACTCGGCGATAGAATAGCGGAATGTCGTAAAAACGAGATTAATAATTAATCGAACTTCGCGGCGCAAGGTGCGCACCTTTCCGCTGTAATCGACGATTATCTGCTCGCGGAATAATTGGACTTGAATGAATAAACATTTATCAACACACCCACGTAACTGACGACTGTTTACAGAAGTCCCGTCCTGGAATACAGGCTGACGGTGTGCCTTTCGGTAAAGGAATTGCGGAATCTTGTCGAGTAAGCAAGGAAACTCGAAATAATCCGAGCACTGTTAATTTTCTCGAGAGAGAGAGAGACTCCTGCAAATCCCCGCAGAGCGATAACGACGAAGAACATGGCCGCT